CTGACAGCTTTTTCTCCAGTGCTGGAACTCTTCACCGTTTTGTTGAGTGTTAGATAAAATTGTCGTCTTGAATTAGGGATCATGGTTATCCCCAAAATAAAATATTTTTTCTTCCTTTTTTAAAGTATTTTTTTCTTTTTTGTTTCAAAAATAAATATATTGAAACACTAAAATCACATTTGGCCCTGCCCTGAGCGTATAAAGTTAAATTCAAGTAAACGAACTGCAGTGTGATAGGATTCTAATGCACTGTTAATGTGAGGAAGCTGATCATGTATTGATGGCATTCGCCATTTAGGTCCATTTTGCTGACTCCTTGTTTTAGTTCTATAGTCACCAACAGCTTTCTGATTATAATTTGGTTTCCCAAACAGAAATGCAAATGGGGAGAAAATGCTCCGATCTAAACCATTCTGTGGTTACATTTTTCATTGTAAAATTAAAAATTGGTATTCTGGCTTTATATATCAGTCTCTATGCACAGGGTTAACGTGAATCTGCACCTGAAAGATAAATTCTCTCTTGGTACATTTACATGATAGGCTTTTGAGCCTGCATCCCTAGACTGTGATGAATTTACCCAAGTGATGCCATCCAACTAGGAACCATCTGAGTAACCTAAAAATCTTCCCAAGGTGTGGCAGCTGTATTTACTGCATACAGAGTACATCCATGACCTCCCTGATACTTCTCAGGTCCCCTTGCTATTAGATGGGGATATGTAACCAGTTTTGATCAATAGGCTGTGAGCAGAATTGACACCTATCACTTCTGAGCCCAAACACGGTGAGATTTTCATATATTCTTTCTTCCTGCTGCAGCAACCATGGAGGCCATATGTTGAGATGGCAGAATGCAAATCAGCCTGGGTCCCTGCATGACCATAATGAACAGAACCCCTCCTGGCCCATACTAGACAAATAATATGAGTGCAAATAAAAGTTTGTTATATTAAGCCACTGTGATTTTATAGGTGTTTCCTACATTAGCATAACCCAATCTAACTCAGTACACCAGGGGATGCTAACTTTGCTAGGAGCGTGTTTTTCAACCAATGGTAATGTTACACTTAGTGCAGGAATACATTCCAACAGTCTCTCTCCACATAACCCTGTGCCCACTCTTTTTTTTTTTTTAATCTTTATTGTTGAGAGTATTACAGGTGTCCCATTTTTCCCCTCAACTGACCCCCTCCACTTCACTCCCACCCCCTCCCCAGGCCTTCACCCCTTTATTGTCTGTGTCCATGGGTTATGCATTTATGCATATAACTTCTTTGGTTAATCTCTTCCCACCCTCCACCCCCCTTCCCTCTTTCCTATGAAATATGATCGTCTGTTACACGCATCAATGTCTCTGGATCTATTTAGTTCATCAGATTCTTTTGTTCATTAGCTTCTTCTTAAAGAAGACCCTTCAACTTTTCCTGTAGTGCTGGTCTGGTGGTGATGAACTCCTTTAGCTTTTTCTTATCTGTGAAGCTCTTTATCTGACCTTCAGTTCTAAATGATAGCTTTGCTGGGTAGAGCAATCTTGGTTGTAGTTCCATGTTTTTCATCACTTTGAATATTTCTTGCCACTCCCTTCTGGCCTGCAAGGTTTCTGTTGAGAAATCAGCTGACAGTCGTATGGGTGCTCCCTTGTAGGTAACTAACTGCTTTTCTCTTGCTGCTTTTAAGATTCTCTCTTTGTCTTTAACCTTTGGCATTTTAATTATGATGTGTCTTGCTGTGGGCCTCTTTGGGTTCCTCTTGTTTGGGACCCTCTGTGCTTCCTGGACTTGTAAGTCTATTTCTTTCCCCAGGTAGGGGAAGTTTTCTGTAATTATTTTTTCAAATAGGTTTTCAATTTCTTGGTCTCTTTCTTCCCCTTCTGGCACCCCAATAATACAAATGTTGGGCCTCTTGAAGTTGTCCCAGAGGCTCCTTATACTATCTTCATATTTCTGGATTCTTTTTTCTTTTTGCTCTTCTGGTTGGGTGTTTTTTGTTTCCTCATGTTCCAAATTGCTGATTTGATTCTCAGCGTCCTCTACTCTACTGTTGATTCCCTGTAAATTATTCTTCATTTCAGTTCCTGTAGCCTTCATTTCAAATTGGTACTTTATTATGTTATCGATTTTCTCAGTTATTTCCCTAATAGTCTGCTTAAACATCCTTATAAACAAAATTCTGAACTCTGTATCTGTTAGCTTGCTTGGATCTATTTCATTTAGTTCCTCTTCTAGAGATTTCTTCTGTTCTTTCCTTTGTGACATGTTTCTTTGCCTCCACATTTTGGCTGCTTCCAGGTGTTTGTTTCTATGTATTAGGTAGAGCTGCTATGTCTCCTGGAATTTGTAGAGTGGCTTTGTGTAGTAGGTGTCCTGTAGGGTCCAGTGGCTCAGCCTCCCCAGTCACCTGAGCTGGGCCTTCTAGGTGCTCCCCTGTGTGGGCTGTGTGCACTGTCCTGTTGTAGTTGAGCCTTGGTTGCTGTTGGCGTCACTGGGAGGAACTGACCCCCAGGCCAATCAGCTGTGAGGACCAGCTGCAACTACAGCCAAAGAGCTGCTGTGCTGGAGACACCCCTATGGAGCAGGATTTACTTCAGTGGAGCTTTGGTGTTCACCAAGTGCGCCCCTTGAGTGTGTCACTCGTGGATGTGGTAGGGTTGTAATCCAGCGTGGTCGAGTCTGACCACCAGGTGCACTGTCTCTGGGGCCTCCCGGGAGGTGCAAAGTCAGCCTGTGCCAGTGCCTTGCCCAGGGCCACCCAGCATGAGCTACACAGCAAACCGTAGTTGGCTGCTACTTGTGCTGGGCTTGGAGGTGTCCAGGAGAGGCCAAGCTATGAGCCAATGCAGGCTGCCGCTAGTGCCAGGCCTGGGGCCACTTATCAAGCCATATGGGGCTTGTTGCTGCTTGTTTGAGAGATTTTAGGGAAGTCCTAAGCATGAGGCTCGAGAAAAGCCCCCGGAAATGGCCTGGATGAGCCTGCAGGTGGGGAGGGGCGGGGCCTCTGGGAATCACAGGGCGGGGCCAAAGGTGTGAGTCAGGTGCTGGCGATTCAAATATGGCGCCTGCCTGCTGGTTGTGTGGACTCGCTAAGGAGCAATGGTCTCTGCAAGCCCTTCTACCTGGGAGAAAGCTGCTCCTCCACCTCTTGCCCAGATTTCAGGCAGGTTAGTTCCTCCGCAAGTGTCCCAGGTTCCTTTCAAGCTGCTGCCCGGCGCTGGGGTCAGAGGGAGTGTGTCCGAGGGAGTCCACGTGTGGGCCCTTTAAGAGGAGCTGCTGGGGTTCCCGCAGCCTCCTCGACCCTCAGTGACAGTCCCCACTGGTTTCACAGCCTGAAGTTGTGGGGGCGTCTCTTCCTGGCCCTGGAGCCCTGGGTTGGGGGCCCGATGTGGGGCTGGGACCCCTCACTCCTCCCGGAAACCTCCACCCAGGGACATGTCTCTCCCGGGCTTAACCCGCAGCACCAGCTGTGGGCCCAGGGCTGTGTCTCTGGGATTCAGCCCAGATCCCCCAGTGTCTCCGCCCCTTCTATCGTTCTTGATGCTCCTTAGTTCCCTGGTTGTAGGGCTTCTGTTCAGCCAATATCAGAAGGTTCTGAGTAATTTTTATGTGGTTGTGGGAGGCGGTGGGTGCAGCTGTTCCCTACGCCGCCATCTTGTTTCT